TTTTCTAATATTATTCTCTCACTTGTTGCCACGCCTCCTTATTTTCATTTACAATTTACATCATTATGCGCTCTGCATTCTGTTTTTACATTTCTTGAGTGTGGGAGGTAGCTTAGTCTCTGCGATTATGAAAACAGAGCTCCCTAAATGGCATATAGCATTGGTGTTTGTTACATTGAAAAATACTTGCGGTTCTCTTGTGGTTCGTTAGCTTTACAAGGAAGGTAGGTGCGCAATAAAAGTCGTTACATATATATTTATATATATATTAACAGCGTGAAAAATAAGCTTTTCTCACCCACGATACTTACATTTGGTGTTAGCTTTTAAAGCCATCTTATCTTACCATTATCTATAATTCGCTCGTCTTTTAAACTAATGCTTAATGTAAACATTGAAGATTGAGAGGGGAGGAGCAACGTCGAGAGACTTGTAATGATGTTGTTATCGATTGTTAATTGCAGACGTGATGTCCTGTCGAAGACGAAGAAGAATCGAGCGATACAGTCGAAGAGGAGAGCACGAAGTCGTCGACGAACGTTCGGAAGAACGAGTTGACAACTCGACTGCACCTTTACTCCACGGTGATCCTGGTCAACGCCCTTCCACTTCCTACGCCAGTATAAATACCAGCAACGTAATATTCCATGACATTAACTAGGGTTTTGTAATGAAATGAGGTATTTCGCTCGGCGAGTGTATTAAAACAATTGACTTCGAGGTCAAAGAAAATTGACGCCCGCTCATAAGTGTGTCATTCGAGAAGAACAAAAATTCGATACAAAGTATTCTCTTCATTCGTCATTGTAATTGCAGGCAGATGCATTTTATCCCGGAGAAAAGAAGAAAAAAAAAAGAAGATATTTTATAAAAGTATATATTTTTATGGCATGTGAGAGTTCGCGATCGAGTCGCTTGATATTAACGTTGTTTTTCTAAGGCGCTATAATAGCCAATACACAATAAAGTTTACTTTTAAGTTTATATTGATTATAATATAATAGAGGCTGGTTCTGTGAATTTGAAGGTGAGCATGATCGGACCTCGGTGACTTTACTCGTGAGATATACTTGTGTACCAATTAGCGTTACGTGCTATGTGATAATTTTTCGTTTTAGAAAACTGCCTCATACTTTTTCCTTCTATTTTCTTTGTAAAGTAATCTCGTCATTGGCAACAAATTTTAAAGACTGCAATTATTATTATTCACTTGCACAATAAAATTTTTCTAACCCGTCGATCATTTATTTGCCTATTATTGATTTATAAATTGCGCTCACAGCCAATTTCTTGGCAATTTACATTAACAACATTAGAGGTATAATGTATCCGAAGGTCACAGGTCACGGAGGTTTTCACCCCGCATCCAATAAATATGTTCATCGTACATTTATTATAACTGATTATGCTAGCCTATTTTTTACTACGATACCAAGTACGTTTCACACGTAAAGATTTGCAATATTTGACTCGGTAATGTACGAGTTAGTGCGAGGCTATAGGGAAAGTTGTAGAATCAAATATCACCCACTTATACGAACTATATATTGCACAAAAGCTGTTTTTTATTACATAACTAAAACAGTATTCAAAGTATTCAAAACTAAAAATATGATCGCTTTTATCTTGTAAATCAAGATTTTTCCAATTGCGTCTAGTGTTTTTATTAAAATAAATTAATAAAAAGTGTGTGACTTGTTAGTAATAAATTGGCCTTCCACTATTTTAATGTAATAATAAATTATTCGATGAGAGGAGGGGGGAGGGGGGGGGAACCAATAACATAAATTATTCATTGTAAATGTAAGTAAAGGGTGAAAGTGAAAACTGTTGGACAAATGTATCAAAAAAGTATCCATACAACGGATACTTACTTAGCGATTATTATCTTGCAAAAGAATGTTTATTTTATTAAATCATTTGTCATTAAAAATAGTAGGCACTCGATTACAGCTGACTTGTATTAAATCTAATTAGGATCAAAGCACGTAAGTTCCATCAAGTCTTTCCATCGTAGAATAATATAATAAACATATATTTAAGACGTCTTTCATATGTTTCTCAAATTACATAATTTCTTCTTTTCTCATGAGAAACAACATGTAAGTTTTTTTTTTTTTTTTTTTTTTTTTTTGGGGGGGGAAAAAAAAAAGAAACAGGTAATTATTTCATATTTTAGTAAAATATGTAATTTAATAAAATGTATTATGTGCCTCGCAGCTACCGATATTAATTTTAATTTTGAAATTCGATCGAATGCTTTGGAAAACACAGGAAAATGTAATATATTCTAAATCTAAAGTATTTTGATGTTTCCGTATTGAAAGTTAATTTGGAAAAAAAAGACACAAAATTGCTTAGATCATCTAAATAATCTATTCTCCAGTATCGTAAATATGAATTATTTTTTAATTCATTTATTAAACTGATATTACAGCTGTGTAATTTACCTTGGTATGGATTAAAAAAAAAACAACAACAACAACAAAAGTTAATTTTATCAATTCTTGTCCGAATATTATACAATACTTTTACACTTGAGGCCCGTGAACAAAATAATCCAAGTATTTTTTATTATCCATAACTCGCAAGCATACGATTTTTTAATATGTTGTTGCGTGTTCATCGCATTTACAAAAATTTTATTTAATTACTTTCTATCGCACTGTATTCCGAACGATAAAATGGTCCAATGCGTGCTAGATCTAATTTAAGATAGAGAGAGAGAGAGAGAGAGATAAAATTAAAAAACATTTCATATGTAACATGTACGGCTGAATGTTACATCCATACATCCATACATACAACTCTCCATTGCGTTGGATTTTAATCAAAAGATTTTATACAACGTAAGATTTTTTATACGATTAAGATAAATAGAAAATGGGAATATCGCCGCTAAAGGGGAACGTGTTTGCATAAATATTATCGTACGTAATTATCGAGATTTCGAATGAACGATTTGTGGAAATTAATGTTTAAATAAAGATACAAGTTGATGTTTGACAAGAATTGCTTTATTATTGTGTATCATTGAGCCCATTTTTCCCACGTAAATAGCAAGATTTGCCATCAAAATCAAGGTTGTTGAGAATTTGCGGCTAGTAATCAACTAGGATATGACGATAATAACGTGCACGATCAGAAAATCGGTGGTCGACCCAGCAGAGTCTAAACGCGACCTAACAGGTGCCCCGTTACGTTGGCAAGCCAGCACATCGTACAACATAACTCGACAGACGAGGAGTCAAGATCCCGAGCGACTGTCGCGGGTAACGAAAAACGAAACCGAGTGCAGCTAGCTGGACGTAAGTGGTGGTATCTTACGACCCCCAAGGACTAATAATAGGAAATGAGGGCGTTGGAGATACGCGCGTGCTCGTCCTCGTCTCGCGCACCAAATGCTCAAAGGCTAATGAGTACAAATATTTCCCTCGCTTTCCAATTGAATTCGTTAAAGCAACGCGTTGCGATCTAATGAGAGTATCAGGATATTTCTCGCAAGGCATTTCAAATGTCGCGCGATTGCGTTACAATAATAATACACGTGGAACGGAACGTTTGACAATGCCTACAATGTCATCATAGGCAATAAATTAACCTTAAAGTTTGAGGGTAATGCGTTGTATTTTGATGAAACGTTAAAAAGAATGGGAAGAAGATGATGGAATTATATTTTAATTAAGCATTAAATTAATTCTGTTGGAGATTTGTGGGTGAAACAGTGACGTATATTGAACTGAAATAAAGCTTTATAATCATATTTAATTATATTCATAAGATAATTAAAATTTTATTTAGTAAATTATATTCTAAGTGATATTTGAATTTTACAAGCTGTCTGCACAGTAAGCCTAAAACCTAAACACAAATAACATTAAATTTACATTATAGTATTCTTGCATATTAATGTATATGTACCAGGGATATCATAAAACATGAGCTATTTAACAAAAGAGCAGCAGATCGAGAGGTAACACAACACTAATAAACATTAGTTAATTAATGCTCTTAAATTCTGGTAAAAAAGAATGATGAAGTAGCTTTGGCATATATGAAATTCATTTTTAGAATTTTAAAGTGTAATAATTTTTACGAGATCCTGGAAGTACAAAACAATGCGACGAACAAAGAAATTAAACTGGCCTATAATAAATTAGTCCTCGTTGTCCATCCTGATAAGAATAAGTTTTCAGGATCAAAAGAAGCTTTCATCGGTAAGTAGAAGATAGAGAGTAGTAGAGAATGCATGGAACATGACAAAATAATCATTAACTTGTATCAGCCTTGAACCAAGCTATGGTTGTCCTGATGAACGACAAAAAGAGAATGGAATACGACGTATATCTTAGGGCACCCACCCCATTTGGTTTGGAGCAATTCCAGTTACCTGGTAAATAATTCCAGCTATTTATCTCTATCGCCGACCTCCAACCTTGCCACAACCACCCCAATTATAATAGTCATCCGATAATCTCGTCATTCCTACAAACTTATATCTTCTTCTTGTTGTAGAGTCCAGTGTGAATAACATACTGATCGCAACGGGAGTCATAGCCACTGCAATTACCCTAACAACTCTATTTACTTCGCTATGGAAGACAAGGCGAGACCAACACTAGAGAGTCGGAATGGAGCGCATGTTAAAGCAGCTACATAGCTTTTTATTTCCCATAGGCGCTCAGTGCGCCAAGTTAAACGTTACAATTAATCGGAATTTAATGTAACCCACTCCTCCTCCTCCTCCTCCTCCTCCTCCTCACCCCGCTCCCTGCATAATCCTTCTAAATAAAGAAATAAGATTTGAAAAAAATAAAAAATAACAACAAACATAAGCGAATTAGTCCATAAAGTAACCCTCACTCGCGCACACACAGAGATCGCCGTACAGCTTCCAACTCCCGCATAAATTCACGACGAATAAATACATGAGAACGAGCCTTTCGACGAAAGCCTGCATAGTCCACGTCACAAGCGGAGCGTTGTTGCTTTACCCCTCTGCCGCAGCCTAACGTTGTCACGCTATCTATAATGCACGTAGTGTCCAACAGTGGCGGTGTCATCCCGATCGCGACGGCGGAGTGAAAAGCAGCAGCGCGCCCCTGGAAAATACGTTTCAATCGAGCGGAGTGGAAGTGCAGGCGGCTGACAGCAAGTCCGAGCGAATTATTTACCATTGCGCCTCGTCACGGGACTTGGCTCGCGGCCGCAGCCCTTCCTTGCCTCGACATACTTACTTTCTTATTTTTCTCGACTTCTTGTACGTAAGTCGAGCGAAATTCGAGTGGACGACGCGCGAGGTCGACGAGAACGGCGACAATGGAGAGCAATAAAAATGAAGCTGAACGATGCACCGAGCTTGCCGAATGCTACATTATTGAGAAGAAGTTCGAGGAGGCGGAGAGGTTCCTGCGGAAGGCCCACAGGCTTTATCCGTCGAAAAAGACAAAGGGTAACCAGTGGCCCTTCTAATTTCCGCCTCAATCCCGTCCCTTAACCACCCATCCTCCCCCTCCCGACCTTCCGCCAACCATCGCACGGCTAATGACATTTATCATGATCTAATTTCATTATATAGCGGATGCAATTTTAACGGATTCCTGGTGCTCCTCTGGCTCGTTTGTATCATACAAATGATGATACATGGGTGTGCGCGCGCGCGCGCGCTCCCCGCTTCTATTTGTCACTCTGTACGTGCATGTCGTTACCCTGTCTCTCTGGACAAACTTGCGCGCGTGCGATTTGCGATATGTCGTCCGTAAATTGTGGTCAAAATTGACAAACGACCTTTCATTAAATTTAAATTAAAATTTTAATGCACAAGCAGCGATTTGGTTTAATTGGAGTTGCATTAGTTTTCGTTTCCTAGCCGCCTGACGGCGCCGAACCTGAGCTTTTTCCGTAAGAATTTCCCATTCGGATTAGCATGCGCGTCCGAGACAATTAATAACAGACATACAATCGATCGATTACAATTATTAATTAACGATCGTAATGACATTATTGTTCGAAATTTTCAATTGTCATTTGCGGGGCGTAGTGGATTAACGATAACCAAACCATCGTAAACTACCATTAGAATTGCATCATGACATATACTGATATTCTTTCGTTAATAGATTTATTAACAACTGTAACGTTATTGTCAAAACAAAGTAAAAAATCGGAACCTGAAGCGGAGATTAGAAAAAGACATACCTACAAGACTAATGATTATACCGATGATCAAATGGAGCATGTTAGGAGGTAAATATTTGTTAATGTTAGTATCTGCATATGGCATAATTGGAATGAATTTGAAACAGAATTTGTACTTTTCAGAATAAAGAAATGTAAAGATTACTATGAAATTTTAGAAATTCGTAAAGATGCAACCGATAGCGATGTCAAAAAGGCTTATAAGAAGTTAGCTCTTCAGCTACATCCTGATAAAAATAAAGCACCAGGTGCGGAGGAAGCATTTAAAGGTACGTTATCGCTGCTGCTTTTCATATATTCGCGTAAGCGCGTAAAATGAAATCGTCGTCTTAACAATAAAATGAATAGTAATATATATATACATATATATATATATATATTAATAACGATGCTTTTATCGTAATAGCTATTGGCAATGCCTTTGCCATTCTCACAGATGTCGAGAAAAGAAAACAGTACGACTTGTATGGGACGGATCAAGAAAGATTGAACAGTACAAGGCAACATTCTCCAAACAATTATACTCGTGGCTTCGAGGGTAAAATTCAAATTACACTCTATGACGTATAAAGTTATTAAAACCTTTTTATAACAAACTCTGCTTCTATTATCACAGCTGACGTTACAGCCGAGGAGCTATTTAATATGTTTTTCGGTGGTTTTCCTCAACAACAGTTTTATATGTACAGAGGCGGAGGAAGTTGGATGAGACAAAATGAGGCACAAGCACAGCACACTCGTTCTCAAGTACCGATCTATCTCCAATAAGACAATTTTTTATAATCCATCGTAAAGTCAATTTATAATTAACATTTTTTTTTTTAATTTCATTATGTGTTATTTTTTTAGCAAGCAAGTGACTATACTACATTCCTTCAAATGTTGCCTATACTATTATTAATAATTTTGACCACAATGAGTAGTTTTTATATATCGGATCCTGTTTATAGTTTACAACATAATAAGTAAGCGTAAATGTTATTGGTAATGTATTTATATGGACGCTAATGACAAATTGAACGTATCTTTTTCTGTTCGCTAGCAAATACTCGGTACATAGAATGACTCAAAATCTCAGAATACCATATTATGTAAAGGAGAACTTCCACACGGAATATGAAGGAAATTTAAAAAGGCTAGAGAACTCGGTGGAGGAGGAATTTATACTTGCTCTGCGGCACTCGTGTTATAGAGAAAAGAATTACAGTAAGCGGTCCTTTTAATTTTGCGTGTATTAGAAAAATTGAAAAGACAACGGTACAATTGACATTTTAAATCAACTGTTTATCTAATTTTTCTCATTCTTTAGGGGAATCGATGATGTGGAAAGCAAGAAATTTTGGTGATCAAGACCAATTTCAACGAGCTAAAAATATAGAGACGCCGTCATGTAAAAAGCTTCAAGAAACGATGCCCGACCTATGATTTAATTACATTTGTTTACGCAGGAGTATCAATTAAAATTTGTAAATTTAGACAAATATCCAATTTTATTTATGTGTGCACAAGGGGATAATGAAAAAGTTTAATGTGCAATCACATAAAATGGTTAAACTTGTAAAGAACTTTATCCAAAAGCACCATTAACTTTATGCATAATTTACAAAGAATTTTTAACTTCAAATAAGTTGAAAAATTATATTAAAAATCAATTTGTATTCTAATCATGCCTTATAAAAAATATTAACAAAATTCTTATAAAACGTTCTTAAACGATTGAAAAATTAGTACAATTTGTCAAAAGTAAAACTATTTTATGTATCGTAGTTAAGAAAGTATCGATTAATACTATTTTATTTATTTAAACTCTGGCATTAAAATGTATGCTACAATAGTTTTATAAGTTCATTGATTTTATAAAACAATTTTAAATGTCCTATCGGTTTAATATAAATGAAGAATATGTTTAGTTATTAATAAATTCATTTTTTACATAGGCACTATTTAATATAAAATAATTCTGATAGTTACAAAAATTATATTATCTACAAATGATGTACATTGTTGTTTATTATAAACAAAAATTTAAGCTTTTGAAATCTAATTGTGTTTATTGTATTTAATACATATTTATAGTTTGTTACATTTTTTTCTGTTTTAAAATTAAAAATGAAAAATTTTAAAGCAATTGTGTCGTAAAATTTACTTGGCCCTTTATTATTTATCAGATTGATAGTGTTTTTTTTTGTTTGCTTTTCTTTCTTTTTTTTTCTTTTTTGTTTTTTCAAATTTCAGCAACTTATAAGTTTTCTAAATAAAGGTAAACCATAATTAATGTATTATCGATCGTGTAGGTATAGAATAAAGTATGCGTTAGTTGGAAGCTATTTTACACTTTAAATTAAAAAAATGAAAATAATCACCAATGGCTATAAAAATCATGAATAAAGAAAAATAAAAAATAAAAAAATATTAAATAATTTCTCAAACACGCAAGAAATTAATCATTTTTCTTTTAATAATTAATGCAATACACGAACAAGCTAGAGACATAATAATAATACAATTATTTAATTTATGTCATAATAAAAGAACATTTATGTGCCAACTAATAATTAATTTCCATAATAATAAATCATACAAGTAAATTCAGTTTGAAAATGTATTGAGAAATAAGGGATAAAATGTTTGAAATTATGGTAAGATTACATTTAATCATTAATATTATTATCAGTTAAATTTCATACACAAATACCTCCGCTCGCTGACGTCGGGACTCCATCAAAATAACGATAAACTCTTATTTAATTTTTTCTTCGTTCTTAATGCATTTGAAAGTTCAAATTAAATTGGAATGCTGACACTCGTTCGGATTCATAATCAGTCGATTACTAATTGTTTATTTAATCCTCGACAATATAGTGGATTAATCGACTAGGTTTACATTGTTATGTAAATTAAATTATATCACAGAATGAGAGAGAGAGAGAGAGAGTAGATTATAGCATTATGTACATTGACATAATATCAGTTAAGAAGATCAAGTTGTTTGTATTATATTATTCGAATATGTAACGACGATAAATTTAACGTATTTGTATAACGTAGAATTATCTCGATAAACTTTTAATATAAAATAGTAGTAATATATATATATATATATATATATATAATACTGTAGATAGTTAATATTGATAATATATTGTACAGTGGCATTCCATCCATTTTAATCCTAATAAGTATAATACTAATTGTTATAATAATACATAGCTTGTATTCAACAGTTTATTATATAATTAGATAAAGATAACTAGTTTGCTTGTATTTGCTAGTCAGCATTTTAACTATTTCGATCTTAATTATTTAAAACAACGGTCAAATTATCAATATCAGAATATTTATGCCTCGATACAATCGCTCGTTCAATTTTCGTGTTCTTGAAAAATATAAAACACGAGTTATCTTTGTAATTATAATTGGTATTACTAGGTCAATCGAGTACCAATTTGAACTGAAAACTATCATATTCGTAAAAAAAGACATGTAAATTCCTTTCTTATGAATATTATGTAGCATTTCACAGAAGTTTAATCGCAATAGTCAATTGCATAAATAATGCTTTCAATTTCTTTGTGACGTCAGGTGCATTCTTACTGATCTTTCATTTTTTCGAAATATGAAAAATATTGACTAGTAACTAATAAAGAAATTGAATTGAAAAACGATACCAATTGTTAAATTAAAACAAAATATCATTGAGCCAACCAAGTACATTAAGCAAGTATGAGGCTGAAAATAAAATGAAATATAATATATTGAAAGTTGATAAGTAGTAGCTTAATAGAATATATATAACGATTATGTCATCGTATTAAAAAATATATTTTCATAATTTTAGAAACCATCTTTATAATTATTAAGTAGATATAGTTTTTATTCTGAAGAAATAAAGGAGTTATAAACAAATTAACATTCTTTGAATATAATAATCGTAGCCTTAATTTATTTAATGTCATTCATTCAGTGTATAATTTATAATTAATAAATTCATTGATCTTAAATTATTATTTTAACAATTGACGTAAATATGACAACAATCAATGCTGTGCAGATAATTATTAATTATGTATTCGTTTTATTACATAAAAATACAATTATGGCGATTTTCATTAGGAATAATTAAAAATAAACAATATATACGTAAATATGTAGATATAGGTGTGTTTTGTATAAGATTTTTCAAAAATATTATTTATCTATATCATATTGGACCGTCATTTGATATAAGAATTGGTTTTAATTTAAATTAGAACAAAATTTTGTAAAAAAAAAAACCAAGTTTTATAAGATAAATAATAATATAAACAAAATAATAAAGTGAAACCTTTATATATATAACTTATGTAAAAAATTATACTAAAAATATTTTGAAGTCTTATCAATTTGAGCTTGATGATATTTTACAAATATCATCGAAGCTTTTTAAAATTTACAATTCCATAGATGAATAAAAAACAAATAAATCACTTTATACAGCATTATGTAACATACGCTTAAAATACCATTTTGAATAATGTATTGTCTATTATTTTTGCAATGACCTAGTTCGACTATAATTTTAATACCTAATTACCATGATTATATACTATTATTATAATAAGTATTGTAATAAATATTAGAATATTTCTCATATTAACAGTAGTCTCCTTAACTCATTTTATGATACAGAGCATCTAGTAGTCTGTCAGACTAAGTATGCGATGGAATCTCAAATTCTTGTTATTAATGGTAAATTATTTCAGTTTGTCAAGTACTGAAATTTTCCAGCGATTCCACGTAATTATCGAAAGTCTTCAAATGATGTTTTTTTAAATAGGGCCTGAAATCTGAATTTATCGAGACCTAAGATTATTCATATTTATGATATTTATATTATAATTTAGTTTCTTACTATTTAAAAAATGTTTATTTACCAATTAATAGATCTCTTTTTTTGTGATCAATGACAAAAAGTTTTCTTAAAATATTCGATAGCTCATCGAAATTAATTTCATCCTTTCGATACTTGACGAGCATATTTTTAAAAATATTGTAATTCTCTTGTGATAGAGCCATTTTTACCTTCAATAAATAATGTTTCCATTAGAATTACACGATGTGAAATATATACATCGTATATTACCTTTTGTATGTACTTATTTCCATCGGCTTGTTGTGCTGCTATATCCTTTTTAATTACAACGGACTTTGATTGCGTTACAACTGATGTAGTACTCGTTGTACTCGTTGGTGCTATTGTCACATCCATGCTAAACTGTATAGGTTTCAATTTTAATTTTTTTCTTTTTATACTAGGTTCCCCAGAAGTTGAAGGTTCTTGAGAAAACTGTGTTAAATTTTGAAGTTTGCAAGTTCTAAGATTTACAACAGCTTTTGACTTCATTTCAAATAGTGATCCGAAATCATTAGCTTTTGATTTACTTTTATTTATTTTTCTTTCGCTACTACTATCATTGGACTCTATTTTATAAATATCTATATCAAAATTATCATTTTGATTTTCAAATTGGGATTTGCTGGCCTGAACGTTTAATTTCACTGAACCACTATTACCGCAATCGAACTGGGCTGGAACCGCAGGTAAATTGTAATCTGGTAACTAAAACATATTGTAAATTCGATGAGAATGCAAATTTTAGGAATGAAATTAATATATAGTATTTTCACATACATTTTCTTTTGTATACTTGAAAAACTCTCGTAATCCTTTTATAACCGTTTCGAAGTTTGGAAATTTTTTAAGATGTGGTCTAATCCATTTAGATAATTGTTGCTTAAACGACTGATTATCAAAGCGACAATCGCATAAAAGTATAGCACCGTAATCGTTTTTATGACGTATTATACGTCCTACAGCCTGATTAACAGCTCTCGAAGCCTCAAGCTGATACCATTGTTGCCCCGTTAGTCTCTAAAATTGTTATTAGAACTTAAAATACAAGTTATATTAACTGTTCTCTAATTTTGTTTGAAATAACAAAAATATTATTCAGATCATAAGAATTATTAATTTTACTTCTTGCCCTTGTGATCTATTTTCTTCTAAATATCTTTGTTTCAATATAACTCTAGGATCTTTTAATGGCGGGAAAGGCAATCCTGTAATCAAAACGGTTCTTCCATTTGCATTGGCAAAGTCAAGACCTTCGCTAACTTTTCCTCTACAAACACCCATTAAAATAGCTCCTTTCTGCATTGGATCTTCAATTTGTTTGTAATATTCTTTAATAATGTTATTGAAAATTTCATTGGACTGAGCTTCCACAAAAATGGGCTTTTAAAAAATATGCAAATAATTTATATTTCTTTCTTTAATTTTTTTATATTATACAATTTTAAAAGAATTATTGCCACCTTATAAGATTCAATTTGTGTCCATATTCCTGTACTTTGCCATTGTTCCTGACAATTCTTTAATATTGGATAAGATGGGAAAAAAACTAGTAAACCATGCGGTAAAATGCAGCTAAGAATTTTTATGGTTTCTCCAAGTGAAGCGATATACTTTGGATCATTTCTAAAATCAAAACTTATCAATAGATTTACTTTGTCCAAGTCAATTTAATAAATTGAATAAAAGGACTCGTTATGAAAAACGAAGTAAGAAAAATTTTCAACAGATTTCTGAATCAATTTTATAGTAAGTAATTGCAGTAGTCAATGTTGATTATCATTTATTTGTTTACTTAAACCAACGGTCATTCTATATATTACACATATATACCTTGTATTATACGATGAATTAAGACAATAACCATTGTAGCCGGTACTAACAATGCCAACATATATTTGTTTTTCGGTTATTATATGAGAACTTTCGAGTTGCACAGAAATATCTATTCCGATTTCAGAAATAAAGGGTTTTAAAGGTGAAAGAGTACCGCTTGTTAAAATAATAGATCTTACTCCTTCGTCCAATAATTGTTGCATTCTAAATTTAAACAATATTGTACAACACAATAATGTATAATTATTAATAAATTAAGAAAGCGTGATACTCAAGAATACCTGAATTCTGAACTAAAGCACCAGTAACAAATTAATTTTCCATCTGATTTTGTTATTTTTTTTGTTGTCCAAACATCATTTTTAAATGGTTTCTTAACTTGCTCCGTTTGGACATATACTTTATAACATTTTCTTATTTTCTCTTTGAATTTATCTTGACATTTATTACGGGAAAATCCAGTAAATACGATATGCAGTAAATCGCAAAATTTTTTAAGGGCATTTCCTTTTCTGGTAAATGATGTAGCACTCACTGTTGTTAAATAAAGAATAATTTTATCCAATTTCTCAATTACATATTGGTATTTACTATGAGTTATCTGAAATTACGAATAAAAATAAATTAATTATGTTTTTGTCTAATTTTTTTATGATAATGTTATATCTGCACTCACGTCGACTGTTCCAAGTAAATTAAAAATATAATCGCCAGGAAAAATTTCACCCTCTTCTTGATTTTTGATTTCTATATTGTCAATAGATTTTTCTAATTCTAAAAACATGGCTTTTAAAATACATAGATCTTCGGCTGAAAAATCTTTCTGTGAATCATGTTCTGACTCGATTGACGAATAATCTGAATCTTTTTTTTCATTAGCCATTTCTTTCATAACATCTGTTATTTCATTTATACAAACTGCTATGTCTGTACTACTAAACTAAAGATAAAATTATTTATTATTATTCAATAAGCAATTGTATATATATATATATATATATATATATATTTATCTTTATTTATATTAACTAATTACTTGTAATGAAGCTGCTTCCTCACAAATTTTTTCAATATTATGTGCCTCGTCCAATAAAATAATTTTATTTTTCAATTCAATGCCCTGGTTCTTTCTTATTTTAGGATCTAATAAATAATTGTAAGGCATAAATATAATGTCTGCACTTTCTTTTAAATCTTTTGATAAAAAGTATGGACAACATTTATTTTTTTTACTAGTTTTAACCAAATCTTCAATGTCTAAAATATTTTGATTGGTATTTATATTGAACTTTCTAAAAATAAAACACAATAAGATAAATACACATAAACTTTTACATACGAATAATCTCAATAAAATAAAATAATTGGCCATACTTATAATTATTATAAAATAAGCAACTTCCTGCTTTTACTTTGGCTTGGCACATGAAAATCTTATTGGAACTATTTTTTTCTATCGCAACTTCTGGATTTATACAAAGTTGATCCCTAGATCCAAGAATTGCTGCATTAACATGATTATATGACGTTCTTTTCAATTCTTGTATAGCTTGACTTAGCTGAGAATGGGTTCTCGATGCATAAATTATTGTTGGCATTGAATGCCCAAATGAATTTTCCAATTGATCCAAAGACTTACCACTTCCCTTATTCAAAACCTTGGAAAATGATCTTAAAAATTCATTATTCGTACTAAGTTGATCCAATGCACCTGTAGATTGTGCTTGAATTTGCATTTGAGCTTTCTTTATCATCAGCCAAGCCAATGAAGAACACAGTAAACTTAATGTTTTACCAGTACCTAATAATTAAAAAATTTGTAATACAAGATGTGTGGTAAAATATGCAAAAAATAATAAAATTAATATTTTATATCATTTCACCTGTTGGTGACTCGAGAACACCATTTTGGCCATTCTGTAAACATTCAATAACTTTTGTCATATAATCCACTTGAACTTGATATGGCTTAAATGGAAATTTAATAGCGACTCCATTGAGAGTAACTTCAGTCATAGTACGAATGATAACTTTAATTCAAAATTTAATTTTCTAACAATAAAAATATAAATAACCTGGTTATATTAAGTGTATCATTGACACCTCATATTTCATTTGGCGGGAATTTTTTTATAAGCATTGCACTTTACGTCAATGTGTCTGCGCGCATGAGCAGACAGACGATTTTACTAATTATTTTCATTTCGTTTGATTTATCTTCTTTAAATAATAAAGGATGAAAAAACTCATTAAGATTACAGAATATTTATAAACTATTCACATATACTGTATATATATATATATATATATATATATAATTTAATATTTATAATAAGTATAAAAATAAAACAATTTTACTAATTATTTGCATTCCATTTATCTTCTTTAAAAAAAAGATGAAAAAAATCATGATTACTAAATATTTATAAAATTTTTATATACAATATACTTTTATAATTTAATATTTGTAATATTGTAAGTAAAAAAATTAAAATAAATATATTTATGCAAATCCTCATAAATATATTGCGAGCAATGTAAACGAGTTTGTGCAAATAAATAGACGATGCATGAGAGATTTCAATTACTCTCTTTATTTTTTTATTTACTTGTACTAAGAAAATAAATCAATAAATATTTATAGTGTTGTTTAATCATTATAAACATGTTTATGAAAAATACTAATAATAATCAAATTATCTTTTATAAATAATTTATTTATATGCTGATTTGCATGTTAGCAAAACAAAATTTTTATAATCGATACAAATGCATGACTTATCAATACCAAAACTCTTAACATAGATTTCAAATATTTATTGTATTTGTTTTTCCAATGAAATAGTTTTTTGAGAAAATCCACCATATTATAGTAATAAAAACTAACCCGTCTCTTGAACATTTGACTTGTCAAACTTTTTTTTATTTTTTTCAAATATCTGTATAACCATCAGAATAATTAATAAAAAATATCAGGAGTTTAAGTTTGCTATTATTTGTAAGTGCTGTAAAAATTAAATAACTAGAAAAATAAATGCTAAAAAACACAAGTTTCAAATTCGTCTTTTTTATTTGCCAATTACATCCTTATTAAATTTAATAATGTACATTATTCGAAGACATTCTTCTCAATCTGTTATGAATAACAGTTTATTATTCCAACAACTATAGATATATGCTCATTACCAGAAAATTAAAAATAACTTATTTAATTAAATGCATCAAAAAAATGTCCAAGTATTAAGTAAATATTATTCTGTAATACATATGACAACTGCATACAATAAAGAATTAATTAATGTACGCTGCTATTATGGTAATGAATTATCATTTTTCACAAAACTTACATTGATTGCTGTCATTAATATATTACTTTATAACCATAATGATAAAATGTAAAAAATAAATGAAAAAGTCAATGTACCCAGTGATGAAAAAATGTTATTTTAGAAAATAACTCTTAATCATATAATTGTTTCATTTGAATAAATAAAAAATTTATATAAAAAAAAAAAGAAAAAAAAAAAAAAGATAAAAAGAAAAAAAAAATAAAAATATAACAAGATTATCGTTATCATTTAATACATTCCAAAAGAAACCACATAAAACGAAATTTTTTATTGTTATCGAACCAATTCTTTTAGAGATATTAATACCGAGATTGCATTGTATAATGCCTTTAATTTAATGTTATGTTAAAAATTTTTACAATTTTATCCCCTCGACACCATCATTTATAAGAACAAAAGTATTTATGCACTTGGTTTTGCATAACTATTAATTTTGTTAAGAGTAGAAAATATTCAGATATTCAAATTGAATAAAAACAGAGTAGTATAAATAGCAAGCAGTAAAATAAATCTTCTCGGTATTGGACAGTTTCTACTTCTCAAAATATATTTTGTAATTATTTTTTATGCACCCCTTTACAATGATTCTTAAATCAAAATCGAGTAAAAAAAAGAATATACATTTCATTAGGTTTTCTTTTATCTGAAAACTTTAAATACCTTCTTATCCCATCCATTATAATTTTTTATTCTCAAAACACAAACTTCGTCTTTGTCACATACCACAAAACAGATCTCAATTATAACTATATAGATTCAATATTACCAACTACGCACTTAATCTGATCTTAATATTTACATAATTCTACGTTTTTTGTGTATGCGGTTCGAGTAATATTGGCAGTTTGTGAGCTCAAGTCTGCATTTTATCCTTTACCCATCCATTTTTTTTTTTTTTTTTGACGTATAAAAAAAAACAACAAATTTATTATCATAATTACAGCATAATCACGAGAGATCACGTGCACAAGATTTGTTTTTTATCTGTGCTTTTTATTTATCATGATAAAAAAAAAGGATGCATTGTCCACCAATACTTGATTTAGATGAGTCAAAAGTCAACACTGTCAAGTATTATCTAGTAAGCCCCACATTCGGTTGCCTTTCATGTTTCCAAACTGATCGAAACTATTGTATATCAGTGGATGTACTTTTTTGCTGCTTCCATTCCGATATTCTTGCTTTCAATTCGTTCACTGCAATGAAGCAAACAAGCAACCATTACACATAATAATCATAATAATGGACTAGAGACGTAAATTTAGTTTCACTTTATTTTCTAGTGCTTATCAGCGCTATTAACGACGCTTTCTTTTATTTATTTCTTACACATATTTCCTTATATTGCAAGACCTGCAATTAGCCTTTCTAGGCATAAGTCTATTGTCATTTCGTTTTATCAATTTTCAAAGTACGCTCGTGCTATAACGATCGTTAGTAATAATCAATAATAAACAATATTTAATTTACTGGACTTTAAATTTACAATTGCCAAATATGCGTACAATATTGGATTTGGAAGTTAGCGTTTGATTTTCATTTTCATATACATCATATGGTATATAGAAAGTTATAAAAACAGAGCGAGTAATTTTGCTGCAGGCATAGCATTTATAATTTATAAATATATGTAAATTTTCATTTCGAATTATCAAAATCAGAAACAACTTACTGGGGGCAAGCATATCCTCGCTGAGAGGCTGCCTACTAAAGGGATCGGTCGCGCTGTTGAGCAGATGCCGTATAATGACGTCCTTGTCCATGACAATGCCCGAGGGCAACTTGACGGGTTCCTCCATCAGCGTACCCATGAGGGGATCCTTGAACTCGTCGGGCGCGTCGTTGTAGTCCTCCTCGCGCGCCCGGTTATCGCTGGCGATCTGGGCCGCCTTCTCCGAGAGGGCGATGAATCGCTCGATCTCCGACGCCGACTTTATGGCCGATTTCTCGAGCTTGCTCGCCGCCTCCGCGAACAACTCCTTCGAGAAGGACCTCTGCAATTATTCGCACCATTTAGAAACGCACGAGCATATTATCTCTGGTCGACGCCTACTATTGGATCCTCGCAAGGCCGATATCAACTTAATAAGCGAACGTTCCCATTGATATCGACGGTCAGGTAAATTTAACAAGAGTACGTACCAAAGGCACAGACGCCTGCACTTTCAAAAAGTTTCAAACGAGTATCTGCATAAATAAGCCCCGCAAAAGAGTGGACATTAACGTCGAGTGTCGCGTATCAGTTTCATAAAAAAAAAAAAAAAAAAAAAAAAAAAAAAAAAAAAAAAAAAAAAAATTACATTGAAATCGGGCAAACTTCGATAATAATAAAAATATATCATCGATAAGCTGTGAGGGTAAAACTAGAGCTGAGAGTGGTGACGTTTATGATAATTAACGAATAATTAACGTGATGCGGCGTGTTACCGTAACAAAGTCTCGTAGAAAGTCTCGTAGAAAGTCTCGTGCAAAGTCTTACCTCGTCACTGGCCAAGGCAGCGGCAAACTTGTGACAATCGAGATGCAGGTAAATGTCGACGATGTGCCCCAGCAATGCTCTTGGCTCCCAGCCGTATTTTTGGGGTTTTCTCACTTTCAGATTCTTACATTTTGGCCCGCATAGCTGCTGCAAATTGAAGTTGAGCATGGCGCTGAGTCGACCCGAGAGCTCCGGACGCAAGAACGGCTCGGTGATCTGTATGGTGAGGTAGTGAAACATGGCGACGGTTTCCTTGGCGAGGGTAAGGTACGACTTCGCCTGACGCTCGTCCGTCGCCAATTGACGCGTGCGCGATTGCTGCTGATCTTGGTTGAAGGACGCCCAAGTCGACTGATCCGACATGATCTCCTGCACCTCGTGGATACGTTTAAGAGATTCGAGCGACTCGTCCAGCAGGAAAGTCGTATCGTTCATCAGCATGTTTATGAACTTGACGAATTGCTTGCCGTTCGAGCTCTCGCGGATTATCGAGGCCCTGTGCACCGGGCTCTCCCACATTGATTTCAGGATTAGGGAGATGTGGTAGCGTATGAAGAATTTGTCATAGAACTCGGACGATGACCCCGTCGTTTCGACGTCCGTATAAAATTTCATGAGGTTGGAAGCAAGAAGGAGATTCGAGAGCGGGTGCGCCATCACTTGCTTGTGCAAACTCTCCGTCAACCCCTGGAATATTAAAGTAGTCTTATTATTTATTTGCCTCGTTCGTGGTTTGTCGCGTTTCACTGTTTATCGATGAGTGCAAAATGTTAAACGCCGATAGCAAATACTAACACATACCTGAACGCTTGCATTTATTACAAATAGAACTTCGATTAATTTGGCAACCAAATAAGGATTTCGCATACAATCTTGAGCACATATCAGCACCAGCAGCCATGTAATAAGAATGGTATCGACGTTATTTACAACCACCTCAGGGCTAAATCTGCAAAAATGCATTACAATCAAAACCTTCATTACCTTAAATTATGCCAATCGTAAGTTCTTGCCATTAAAATAGAGTAACTTAATTGATTTAAAAAAAAAATTAAGGTTTTGCTATTCACGCTATTTGTCAATTGATTACGTTATATGAACAATTTAATGTAGGTACAAAATTGATATTTCCGATACTTGAAAATATAATTAAGATTTAACAAGATTTTGTGCGCTCTCTATTGTTATTAAATTTGCGCTATCTAAATTAACGTTGATCTATCAATTAAAAAATCAATGTATATTACATATATTAAATCAATGATAAAAGTCTACAGATATATAGTTTCCCGGTGAAAAATTAAAAATAGTTTATTAATTAAAAATAAGGAACGGTAATAGCAAGATCGATATTTTTTTTTTTTTTTTTTTTACAAAACATCTTTTACCATACGTTATAAATCTAGAGATTGTGTGAAAATTGTGAAAAACAGTAGCTGATTTAAAAATGTAGTACATAAAGACATTTCTCTAGGTCTAATGTTTGAATCATGTATTTGAATAGATTTTGCCCGTTCTTTGTTCGACAAATATCCACGAATTTAATCAACACTTTCTAATGACGGATTCCTCAAGTTCATTAATAGAAGTCATTTAAAAAATGGAAAAAGAGGGGGGGGGGAGTTTACGAATAATCGAAAAAGTTGTATGTTAAAGTGTGGTGAAGATAGAAGTAAACGATTTCATCAAAACAACCTAACATAATCTAGAATCGTAATTTCATATCTCTTGATTTTTCCCTTGTTCCAAATTGAGACTCAAATTGTAGCTTTTTATGTATTTATTATTTTTTTTTTTGTTATTAATATTTGCACTACTATAAGAGTTTAGTAATGCAAAGTTCTAAATCATTAATTCATTACATAATTAATACACGAATTTATAATATTTATTACAGTATTAGGAGAATTGATGTGACATTCGTAGGACGATTGGGTTAATGGCTTCTAGCTTTCTCTTTTTATCAAAATTGACTTACTGAAGTATGAAAAGTAAGAACTCGGCGATGTCCTCGATATACCACTCAGGCAGAGCGGTAAAGACTTTCGGCGTCTCGGAACGGCAATTTAATATATTCGACAGATTATTGTCGTATGCCAACTCGTTGACGTTTTCGACGCCGGTGAGGAGCTTCAACATCACTTCTGCCACCGAGGTATAGAAATGCAGTGACCTCCTCAGCAGAAGGGGATCGACCAAGCCAGCATCCGCGCACGCCTTAGCCTTGCCTAGTCTCTTTAACTGGTACTTCCATTTCTTAATCAGCTCCTTGTTCGGCATGTCGTGCATGGTATCTTTCCACTGGGACTCAGTCGCCTGCAGATCGTCGATCATCTTCTGCAGGTCGCGTAGAGTGCGCAACTTCTTCTGATATTTCTGGAGTGCCGGTATGAGTGCGATATGATGACAATGAAGAGTGAGGAACCAACATTGCGTCGGGAATTTAGCTTTTGTCCAATTATGGCCGCTTGTCTCAAGATCCTCCAGCCATTGCGTTACCTAGCGAATAAATAGCGAACTTTGATTCCCACAACGTTTACACAAACGAAGAAATATGAATTATTATCCGGGCGGATGCTTTGCTTTACGCATTCAGTTAACAAACAAACAAAAGAAAAAAAAAAAAAAAAAAAAACACCCCACGAACTACCTTTGTTAAACGATTCGATTTTAAATATTTTCTAAAGAGCTCTACTATTCGGACACAATTTCCTCGACCGATCTTCTTTCGCGTTTGTACGTATAAATTAAAATATTTTACTTAACGTTCTATTTCAGTATAAGAATAACAGTCGGAAAATAGCAATGCATGACAAACTCTCACCATTATAAATAACAATTAAAATATGTTGCCCGCGCAACAAAGTAATTAATCAATCATTTGACAAGCTTTTTCGAGTAATGCGAGCATTAATTTTATTTGAGTATCAAACCGATCAAACCGATCAAACCGAAGGTAAACTGCCCTAGAGTATTGACATCTCATATCTCGGTCAATCGATGGCCATTTAATCATTGGCATCGACTCCTCTACGTGATTGAGATTTGCGTATCTCTGAACCTTCAGCTACCTCATTAATGATCTATATGCCTCTCAAAGACTCGTGTCTTAAAAGATTTAACTCGTCGTTGCCATTAACGATAAATCATGTGCATCGGCAGTCGTATTGGTGCGTACCTCCTGCGAGGTAAGCTTCAGCCTTGTCTCGTTCTTGATATCGATAAGTGCAGTTGGATGAAAGGGATAGAGCGGATCTATCGTGTCGAGTTTTATTTTTACGGAGAGCATCTGGAGCACGGAGAGTACGTTGAGAGTAAAGCCATCACCAGCGAGGGAAAACTCCTCCGTCTGTATCTGCGTGCGCTTCTCATTATGGCGAAGTATGTCGGCTAGGTATGTGAGAGTCGACTCGCGACACGTGTTACTAGCGAGGATGGCGTGTAGAATCTTATGAAGCGATATTCGAATGCTTTCGAGCTCTTTCTGCAGGGTGAGGACCATCGACTTGTCCGTCGATGTGTTGCCATTGAAGAACTTTTCCGCTACCTGTGAATTATAGGTATTCGACAATAAGCTTATGAGTTGGTGGCGCAGTTGGTGGCGCAGTTGGTGGCGCCTTAATCGGCTGCACAATACCGAATAAAATAATCTTGTTAGATTGGTTATGAGATGAAACGAGCGTTCATTTCCGCTTTAGCTTTAAACGATAATAATTAATAATCATTAACGTTACAACGATCAAATAATATTCTCACTCGTATCACGCTGAAATTACACTGTCACATCCATTCGCTTCACATGACCGCGAGCTAATAAAAGCAACAGAGTCGAACTCGTCAATGCTTTACTATCAGCGTAGTCCATCATCTTTATGGCTTTTTATTATTATTACTATTATTATCATTAATATTATTATTACTATTATTTTTGTTGTTATTGTTATTATTGTCATTGTCGTTGTCGTTGTCGTTGTTGTTGTTGTTGTTGTTTTTTTTTTTTTAATGTCATAAGTATTCGGTCAACGCAATATTATATTCACACGGTGAAATAAGAAGCAAAGGCAAAAAATAACAAGAACGGAAAAAGTCAAATGTAAAGACCTTGGGCTGCTCCTCGGCGAATATAGAGACGGAGAAAAAGGGTCCGAGGAAGGAGGTCCTGGCGATCTCTCTGCCGACCGCAGGCGTCATAAGCTCCGGATTGAACTGCACCTGGCTGGTAATGAGGCGGCACGCGGGTCGGAGGTTACCACTGGGACCGCAGCGTATCTCGACGAGCTCCTCGAGGGCCTCGATCGGCCGCCTATGGGTGTTGCCGACGAGGCTCGCGCGCTGCATCGCCAGGTAGAGGCTCTGGAGTAGGGGCGTGAAGATGCGCTCGAAGGCCTCGGAGTTGCCTTGGTTGCGTGTGACGAGCTCGTGGAGAAAGCCCCGTGGCAGGTTCTGCGAGAGCATGTTGTTCAGGAGGGCGGATCGGCAACCGGCCCCGACTTCCGGCTGCTGGCATCCTGGCAGATGACCTTGGAGCACAAGGCTCGCGTACTGAACGCACTGGGCCCGGAGATTCGTTAACACCTCCGACAGCGGCGGCACGCTCGAGCGCTGAAACGCGACCCTTTCGTCAGCTGTTCCTCCGGACTTTGGAGCTCGAGTGGGGCACGCTTCCAAGGGATTTTATTCACGGCTACGCTACCCGATTGGCGCTGGTTTACCTTCTCTTACCTTCCCACTCGCTCGAGCCAACTGCTATTTTAATCGGCGCTTGACGCATAGGCGACACTTTTTTAGAGAGACGCTGCCAATTGCTTCACGACTACGATTGTTTTCAAGCTTTAGGGATCCTCAAAGCAAAGTCTCACTTATAAAAAGGGGAAAAAAACTTTGAAATAATAAATTCGCGTGCTGATTGTAATGCACGAGAAGCGCGCCGAGTGATTGAATCAGCCATTTGACGGAGAAAAGTCTAAGCCAATACCGTACAATTTAATACAAAAACTCATACTCGAAGGTGACTTTTAACGGGAGTGACGTCTATTATTCATTTATGGATTAATCGATAATCGAAGGGGGTTTTGTGATGGAAAAAATTATAGCGAATAGCTAATTGATGGGTACATCGGCAGCAAGGATAAGAGAGAATATAATTGTTGCTTTTTATAAGTGATTTACGAAAAATTTCTTTGATGAAGCAATTCGTGCATATTTCCCGTCCTTATTTAATTGAGATCAGCAATCAATACGAGCTAAACGGGCAAATAAAAACATTACAAAAATTCCAAATGACATCGGTAAATTTAGCCCATGATGATTATCTATAAGATTTTTTTTATATAAGAATACTTTGGCATTTATAGAATGAGGTATCCAGTCCGATTACTACTCACTCCGGACAATTGTCTTTTATCGCTTCAAATCATCAATGTTTAACTGTACTTCAACATTCTATATCGATGCTCCCTAATGATAATTATGTAAAGCTTTAAATACACGATGCTTACGAAATGTATTTAAGTATTTATATGAAAATTTACATAACAGTCCCCCCTAGCATTTAAAAAAATTAAGTACTGACGAAATTGATAAAGTGCTAAACATTTTTATCGTATTCAATTGACTAATTGTCATTCATTCGTTTATTAATTATGTTTATCAGGCGATAAGAAATAATGGTTTAAATTTTAGAGAGAGAGAGAGAGAGAGAGAGAGAGAGAGAAAATGAGAGAATGAGAGAATGAGAGAAACAATAATCAGAAATAAAAAATACGGATAATTATTCTTGAAAACTAATATATCGATAATAATCTACTTATATCTGATATCGATTTCATATTTCATTATCTAATAAATTCAATAAAAATTGCGCTCCCATTTTTAACTTTATCGCATCATATTTTACCACCGAGAAAGCTATCACTTGCTGTAAGCAATTATTATTATTTTTTATGTTAAAATGAAACAAAATGAGGACGAAACTTTTATCTGCTTCGGTAAAGCATTAAGAAACTGCGTTGTGGACGGGAACAAAATGAATAAAAATTACCAAACGAATTAAAAAGCTTTCGAAAGTAATTGTCAGTACGTACTGACATTATTTATTATTACATTTGCGTTAATGAATAAAAATGCGAATAGACGTCACGTATTTTGTCAATGAACGTTTAATTGTAATATTTCGTACCTTTTATTTAGAAATAAATATATCTGAGACCTGATAAACATCTCAATATTTTTAATAACACTCGTGAACTTTTCTGATTAATAAACAATTAGTTGCACTCGAAAATATTACGACTTAATAAATTATATAAGTCAATCTTTGTGTTGGCATTCTCTTATACGAAACATTACTAATATAATAATATAATTAATGAAGATTCTCTTTAATTTTATGTGCGTATATTAAAAATTAATTTACCTTATTAAAGTTTATGACTTTTTAAATACAAAGACAATCATTAATAATACAGTGAAAAATTATTAGACACGAATAAAATTATCTTCTAATTGTATTGTTTGTACAATAAGGTATCGTAATATCTAATAATGTAAATATTTTTTTTTTAAACAAACCTTGGGATGATTTCTTTCCTCGACAGCTACTCTGGCATAGGAATCTATTAAGTATGCGAGACTTTTTGAATGCGTGGACTGATCTTCGTTAGAGGCATTAAGTTGATTTGCCAATGGGTTTATTGAATTACTTGTAACCGGACTCAGCATTGGACTAGCTTTTGGATCATTTGGACTATCTTGACAATCTAAAGATATATCTATAGCTATGTCCTTTAAAGGATCTTCGCCATTAGCGAATTTGAATAAAACTTCCATTATTGCTTGATTAATGATGTCAGCGAAATTGTTACTGTTCGTTTCTGTTATATTTTTAGCGGTATCGGGAAGATATATCGTACCTCCCGTCGACGTTTTCCACGAGACGGAAAGCACTCGCGATATAACGGAATGAGCCTGTTCCAATGTTACTTCAACTGTACTGGAACTCGTCTGAAAATCCATTGTACTCGATAAACATTGCTCTAATATTAATCTAATACTGTTTATAGAAAAATATAAACTTATAGTTGTATTAATAGCATATGCCATTACCAATGAATTTCGAATTTGTCAAATTTTTGAAAGCTCGCTTGATAATCATAATTGAAAGATCAAGAATTTGTAATTGGGATGGAGTGGACACTTACCCTAGATCTTGGTGCAATTTCTTTACGATCCGTATCCTCTACTTCCATATTTTCAATACCAGAGTCGATATCAACACCAGACGAGTTGCAGTGCTTTTCACAATTATCTTGTATTTCCATTGGTGCTTTATTGTCTGGAAGCTGTAGCATTGACGGATCCGTGGAAGGCGAAGGTGAGATTGTAGCTGCTAGTAGAGAGGAAGCACCGGAAGGTCCAGCAGTCGAATTACTTTGCAACATAAGAACTCCAGTTTTTGGATCGCTGGAATTTGTAGATCCATTGCCAGGAGCATTGTCAAGGCTGACGAGGCGAGCTAATCGCCTGCGTCTTATCTAAAAAGGGTTTAATACAATATGGATAAAAAGGCTTGTCTTTTAAATGCACATCTATTATTTTAAAATAGATGCTTGATGAGGAAAAAATTTCATAATGTTATGTATAGAGAGGATTGGCACTCGTGCTGTAGAGAATGACACCTGTTAAAATGGGCCACGAGAGCACGGCCTAATTTCTCTCCAATGGAATTAAACTGTTGAATTAAACTAGCCATTCAAAATTCACAGCTCTAATTTACTTTAGGATTCTTTACATTAGAATCCAAATTTGTTAATGAATAATCGTCAGTATGGAGACCATTAATTTATAAAAAGAATGATTTTAATATTCATACATCTTGGACTGAAACAAAGAAATAAGATACTGCAAATTTTGATACAATGGTACATATCGCAGTTTTAGCCTTGAAAATTTTGTCAAACAAAGAGAAGGAAAGTATAATAAAAAAATTCATAGAAATACTATTTTTAACATAAGCAATCAAAGTAGCAGTAGAATAATATTAAGCGAAACTTAAGTTTATAATAATATTAATCGAGCTCGTTTTTGGTTCAACCTTTTGCGCTTGAACTGTTATAAAAGAGAAACAATTCAAATACGCTTTGAGAACATAATTTTGGACAAAAGCCATTTGTGTATGGAGGAAAATAAAATAAGAAAGACAGAATGAAGCTGTGTAAAATCGTATTATCACATTATATATAATAGCAAATAAATTAAGAAAATATTTGCTAAAACAAATAAGTGCTACAGTCTCTGTCATCTCTATTATTGAAAACACAAAGGATCCTCGCGTAGCGTTAACGTCACTCTCCAATTTATTCGATTGGAACAGCGGACGGCTAAACAAAAAATAAGCAAAGAGAACGAGGCTGTGGTAACATGGTTGGTGAATAGTAACCAACCATAACCAAAAAACTGAATAGAAAGTTAAAACTTCGCTGATAAAATAAAGGCCGTGGAGTATCTTGGCTAGGGGGAGGGGGGAGGGTGATGAAAAAAAAATGTAAATCACTCATACAAGGCTCTAGCGCTACTCACCTCCTCTGGATGTAATTCGCTCATGTCTACTCGATTGTGCGATAATAATTTCAACGAGGAGGAGGAGGACGGCGGCGGCGACGACGACGACGGCGATGTCGACGACGACGACGACGACGACGACGACGACCAAACAACACTTCCTTCGGGAATGACAGGTTTACGCAGAGCACAAACCCACTCTCGCTCGCAGCTCCCTTTTCTTACTTTCCTTTTCTCTCACCTATCTCCGTCTCCGTCACTGTCTCCGTCTCTCTCTCTCTCTCTCTCTCTCTCTCTCTCTCTCTCTCTCTCTCTCCCCCTCGACAACGCCGTTACCGCCGTGCTACTACTGCTATGCGCAGCAAATATCAGTCCACGGCCCACGACGATGAATTTACAAAATATTCGCGCACGAAGTGAATCGACTATCGTAAACTATTATCTTAATCTATATTTCTCACTGCAGCTGGTAATGCCCGAGCGAACAAAGAAGCAAGCGATGATACTCTACAATTGGCTTTGTTATTATTACTCTCGATGCGAGCCTCTTTCCTTCTTTAGCGCTGCTAACGAGCGAGCGAACACCCGCAACTCGTACGCTCCCCAATAACTTCCTTCAAAACAGCTGAAAAATTCTCGCGAACTGCGACTGCACGACGTATTAGAAAAGCGCAGACTCGTCCCGGCGACGACGGCAATAACAATGACGACGACGACGACGTCGACGACGACGTCGACGACGACGACGACGACGACGACGACGACGACGACGACGACGACGACGACGACGACGACGACGACGACGACGACGACGACGACGTCGACTACGACATCGACATCGACATCGACATCGACATCGACAACGACGACGACGACGACGACGACGACGACGACGACGACGACGACGACGACGACGACGACGACGACGACGACGACGACGACGACGACGACGACGACGACGACGACGACGACGACGACGACGACGACGACGACGACGACGACGACGACGACGACGACGACGGCGACGACGACGACGACGACGGCGACGACGGCGACGACGGCAACGACGTCGACTACGACAACGATGACAACTAAAGCGGTAGCGGCAGCAGCGTCAGCAAAAGCAGCGGCGGCGCAACGCAACGATCTCAGTGCGCTTCTTTACGGGACTGTCCTGCGTATGGGGACATACATAGATGGAAATTTGTATACATGAAAAGAAGCTGACCACCGTGGAATAATACGATGACTCTTGCGCATGACCGAGCGGAAATGAAATATTGCTTTTTCGATATGTCTTCCGCTCGATCCTCGGATTCCTCTTCTCTTTATGATTTATTTATATTTCGACTCGCTCGAAAGCTCGACGCGAGCAACACAAGCACAATTACGCTCGACAATTCGAGCTTCGCGCTTTCCATCCCTATCTAATCGAAAGCCGTTATGTGCCCATTGCGAAACTACGAAGATAATTAGGACTCTGTCATGACAGAGAGAAAGAGTAGGTGAGAGTGAGAGAGAGAAAGAGAAAGAATGACAAGCAATAAAGATGAGCACTGACATGCATAGAACGCGAGTGAGTTATCACATCATGTGCATACAATGTAGTAATAATAATAACAACAGCAGCCCGACAATTTTCTTATTTTTTTATGCTAACAATGTAATATTTAATTTTAACTCTCCGACGCTACTAGTTACAATCAATAATTCAATAAGATTACTCTATGAATTAATACAAAATTGTTAGGCCTACGGAATAATCAAATTACACTTAACTCATTTTATTAATTTTATTACAAAATATTCCCGTATATCGATATCGTTATCATTTTAAAAAAGTTTTATAATAAATAAGCTTATTTATCTTATGTATTGTCGACCTTTGCGTTCGTATGAGCTTTACATTCATCGCGCAATTCGCTTAAACCTAACGGAGCATTTAAAACTGATAAATTTCTTTAAATACGCGATAAAAGCATGGCAACTCACGTCTAACGAATTAACGCCAAAGTTTTTCCACATCGTATTGCAATATACAAATGAAATTTATTCTCATAAGCTCTTAATAATAATAATAATAACGACAAACAATAACGACAACAATAACGATAATAATAACGATAATAATAAGAATAATAATAATAATAATAATGATAAAAATAATAATAATGATTGGTATTTTACATTATTCATGTAGAAATAAAAATGGAAAGGTTATTAATGTTATAAGTGGCTAATGTAGTCCGAAGATGGCGAAGTTGCATGAGCTTTGCATTAGATTCGCGTCTCGATATTGTTTTCTCCAAAATTTTCAAATCGTACGAATTTCGCGCTACTCTGACCGTCAATCACGACTCTCAGCCCACGCATATCTTCTCTAATGAAATCATGTAATGTCACCGCCTCGAACCGTCAAAATTCTCAGCATTTTCAACAAAGCGCTGACAGCGCGCAAGCTTAGCAAATCGAAATAGTTACGTCAGTGGGTAGCACACACATGCAACTAACTGCTGCTTAGCTAACTTGGCTACGTCGGATCTCTAAAATTTCGATCCGCCATTGTTGTGTCTTTCGTGCACGTAGTTCGTACATCATTGTGCTCAAGCTTAACAAGATATTATATCAATTGAGAATCGTTAAGGAATTAGAAGCGTGTAATTTGGTCGGTTTTCTCGCGAATATTTGGGGATAAATTTGAGCAAATTGTTGAGAACGCAAGGAGGGACGAGCGGAAGTAATCGTCTGATCGTAAAACAAAATTTCAGAGCCTTTAATAAGAAAGCGTATTAAGCAGTCAAACAATGTCGCTCTTTGGCTCACTAGTTGGCGACTTTGAGGATGATCCTTTCTTCGGGTAAGTCGGTTTATTTATTTTGTAGTCGCGAGCGCCTTGACGCTTGCTTGACGTCCTTTTTGTTGCCCATCGATTATCCTATTTTACCTTTCAAAATCTTGTCGAAATGGCTTGATTATCGAGCGAAAAACAACATGCGCTTGCATAGAGTGTCTTGTAAAGTTTGGCATGTATCACATTGTCTTTGAGAAAAGATCGATCGACATAATTAAGATTTCTTAATAATTTCTAATTTGATTAATTTACATATCAATTATAAGTTTTGAGTGTATTTGATGCATTTGATGGGTTATACTGTTATTACGCTGTATTTAATAATATACCGATATAAAGACAATATTTTAATGAGATTTTCAACGGTTAATTTTTTATTCCGATATTTTCGTAATGTATACATTTCGTTATGTTTGTACTGCTTGATTATGGTAAATTACATTTTTTTCTTTCATCGTATTTTTCAAATATCTTTGTACATTGTACTCGGTGAGTGTATGAGTATGTCAAAATACAAATACAAATCATTGTAAATAAATCAATATTTAGTGTCGTTGTGCGATAATTTATTTAAATGCATAAAATTTTTTCACCGACGTAGGCGTCGATTAGATCTGCTCAATTTATGACAATTGATCGTATGATGGTAATTTAAGATGATGAGAATGAGAATAAACGCTCTTTTGAGAATGTGCGTTAGTCATATTTTGTTGATACTAGGTCAGGTGGTATCCATGTTTATAATCGGGCAATCTTAGTGCTTCATGCTAATAATAAATAAATGGTAAATTTATGCTAGAGCGGATAAACGTATTAAAAATGGATTAAAAATTTGATGTCAAATACTTTTTGTTGGGTCGATTTTGATTCGGCGTAGATTCAATGTTGTAAATTTATAATAATTTCTGCCCTGGTTAAATGTGGCATCTTAAAAGTGAGAGTAACTTTATTATAAATAAATTTATTTACAGGTCTCATATGCAGTCTATGCAACGAATAAATAGCATGATGAATTCCATGTTTGCCGATCCTTTTGGACTCATGGGTCCCCCTGCTATAATGGATAGTCATCATCATCATCCCCAGAATAGAATGGCCCAGATGCAAATGATGCCGTTTGGATTTCCAGCCATGCAACCGCTATCGATGGGGCGATTGTTTTCAGATTTGGTATATTTGCATTAAAAGCGATAAGAATTACAGCAATTATGGAAAAAATTATACAATTTGGCTCTTATAGAAATATTGAAAAATCAAGAATGTTTGATTTTGTTTATGGTCTTTCCTTTATTTATCGATCGACGGTATTACTTGAATTACTCTTTTCAACCATTTTCTACATAAACAGCGCAACGTACTTGTCAATATTATTGTACAAATATCCAAAACAGTTTATAAAACACTATAAATGCATTTTATAAATAATTCATAGTATATGACGATAATACTGACAACAATAGTAATAAATAAAATTAATTATCTTTCTAAATTAGTATAAAAAATTTTATCGTGTACTTTAGATATATAATTTACTTTGAACGACTTGAAAGCAACTGATTTCAATCAATATTACTTAATACTTCTTTCGATATTAAAACGTGTAGTTTTAACGATAGAACGTTTACAGGGAAATATGGGTCAAAATCCAAACTGCCATTCCTATACTAGCAGCTCTATCATGACAATGACTAGTAGTCCCGATGGACGTCCTCAAGTATATCAAGAATCAATGTCGACGATGACTGCACCAGGTGGTGTCAAAGAAACAAAAAAAACTGTCAGCGATTCGCGTACTGGAACTCGTAAAATGGCAATTGGTCATCATATTGGAGATAGGGCACATATTCTCGAACGCGAGCATAATGTTCATAACGGAGAGCAAGAAGAGCATCAAGAGTTCATTAATCTCGAAGAAGGTGCGAAAATTTTTTCTTTACTTAATTATCGATATTTAGCTTAGCCCTTATATATTCGTATAATTTTCTAATTTTGAAATGTTTAATTATTCATTCAAATGACGGTGTGTGATTTTTTGTTTCTAGATGATGCCGAAACATTTAATAAAGAATGGGAAACTAAAACTAAACACTCGATGGGTGCTATTACTGCTCCATCTTATAGATCTCAAAATCCTTACAGCAGAGCTCAACATGAAAATAAACAATTGGCTTTGCCCAGTACCGTGCCAACAAGGTTAGTAGGAATATATATCAGCATGCTATTAAATTGTAAATAATTTATTGTCCTTAAGTAAAAGCTTTGTAAGGTAAGCCTACATAATGCTTAATACATAGGTATTCAATTTGTAAAGTTGTAGAGAAAAACTTTAAAACTTTGACTAATCATAAAATTATGTTTTCTCGTTCTAAAATAATACATTTGCTCGACAGATCCAAGAAATTAAGAAGAAAAAATTATGGAAGCAAAAAGAATTTCAAATTATGAGTTTACTGATTTATAAATACAAGATTTGGATTTTGCCCTCTTATTATTATTTTTTGATTTTATGTAAAATCAAAGGCATTAATAAAAATATATAAATATTTTAACAAGAATTCTTTTTATTATTTTCTGATATAATCGAGCAAATATACGTATACAAATTACATGCATGTGGAATGCTTTTAATAATAAGCAATTGAAAACATAATAAATAATTTTACACTTAATATAATTATATTTTCTAATTTTTATTTTGTAATGATTTATTTATAATTTTTTCTTATGTTCTGTTATTTGTAATGGATTTCTGTCAATGGTCGTTGCATAATATAGTAGTCGTCAATCTAAGCATCCCTCAAAACCAGTAAATACGCCTAGACGTACAGTAAGACCTTCGTTGTCTTCTAGATCAAAAACTGCAAACTCTAGTTCGCGGTAAGTTTCTTACAGCTTCAAACAAAAATGTTGCATGCATTTTTTATATCTTAGATACTTAATAATTAGATACTTTACAAGCAAAGATCATTATTTTAAATTACATTTATATAACGAGCCTAGTCTTTAACAATAACGAATCAAAATAAAACGATAATTTTCCAAAAGTTTTAACGTTCGATGTTTACTTTAAAATTACAAATACTGCTCTTTAACTTGTAAGAAATTTCTCATGAAAATTTTAATATTATTGTAGATAATGTAGCACAAATTTCCTACACTATAATTGACATTAAAGGGAATTTATTTTCAAAACCGTCGAAACGATATAATAGTAACGTAGTAATTAATAATTATATAATCAAAAATACACATTGTCTCTTCACCAATCAATATGTTAATTTAAAAGTTATAATGATTAGCCATTTGATATTCTAATAATATATACAAATGCTATTAAAGTTTTTACAATACAAAAATCTTTTCATGAGAAAAATAATAGATACAGCTTGTTTGTGCTTTGACCGATGCTTATGGATAAATTGCCTTTCTTTTGAAATCATGTCTCACTTGCTTGTAAATATAATACGCTTCGAAAATTATAGAGAAACCTGTTGGAATCCATTGCGTTGTATAAAAATTAAATTACATAATTGCAAGTTTATTCGTTTTTTTTTTTTTTTTTTTTTAATCGATTAACGACAAGAATTTTTCGATATTATATTGCCTTTCAAATGCAAACTTTTAAACAAATGACTCGAGGATTTAACTTTTTTACAGCTTATTCTAACTCGTTAATACTCTTATAATAATAATAATTATTATTATTATTATTATTATTATTATTATTATTATATAGATTTATTGATTATACATACATATTGATTGACGCGAGATTTTAACGTTTGTAAGCCCTAAATAATTCAAATGATCCTCGATGCCTAAGAATAAAATAAAAAAAAATTGATGCCGATAGTAGATTTCAATTTGTCCTTCGATCGTTTAAATTAATGTTGAAAGAATTCAAAGGAAAGAAAAATGTATCTATCCTTTTATAATTATATGACATACAATACATCGACAAATCGTTTTAAATATTCGAAAATTCGTAAAAGCATTTTTATCACCTTAATGCATTTAACATCGCTAACAATAAAATTAAAAAAATAACGCTTCTCTTTGTCATTGTACACCTTTTCCGGCACATAATAAACAACATTTATAACAGTTTTTGTATAACTGAGCTTGTAACTGTTGTTAGCTCAGAAATTGGCTGCTTTGTTTAATTACAATAGTAATGTAATAGGAATGTATGAAAAATATTTAATGGTTTTAAGCCCGATATTTGCAATAGCACGAGTAACGTGTATTTATCAATCAATAATGAAACTCTTGGGGCATTTATAATAACAATCCATACCAAAGTTCATACGATTAAAAAGTCTTCGCCATCAATCATCAATCCAATGAGATTTAATTATTATTTTATTTCTAGCCTTTGTTTGCACATTCAATTAACAACTACACAAACACCGGAGATTTGTATATTTAATCGTCTCCTACAAAATATTCCCGTCGCTTTTACTTGGCATACCCGTGAAATCGTATAATTCTCAAAAGTAAACAGTCTTTGTGCTGAAAACATCGATTTTGTCCTTCCAAGAACGTGGATAAACGGCCAACTGCTCCGATGAGTCAGAACAAAAGCCATCGACTACGAGTAATCCGTCCGACGCGTAATTTCCAATGCGAAAGCCTCAGTTCGAAGTTCACCGCGATTATTAATAAAATACTCTCCATCCTCTCGTCTGCATTTACTATTTGTCTTTAATTTTGGGTTTTTTTTTTTCCTTCAGAAAATAATATTGATTTGTTTAAATGCTTAGCAGGCTCGCAAATAAATGACAGAGCAGAAAGATTAATGTTAACAAACAATATCTAACGATCCATTTATTTTAATACTGGAATATAATTTGTCGAATAATTAAGTAAGCATTGTGTGCATCGTACAAATGCTAATACAAATACTGAATTAAGTTTAATTATTGTTGTTAATTGATGAGATAACGTGACAAAACAAATACGCCAACCTTTGGTTTTTATCTTCGTAGGCTTAATTTATAAAAGATAAATGATCACTTGAAGATTAAAAATATAATAACTTCTTCCTTGTGCTTATGATAAATTTTCAGGCAAATGAGATTATGCATCATCGATTGTTAAAAATCTTAATTATTTAAAAAATTACCATTGCAAAGATATTTTTGATAAATTAATTTTAACGCTCGTTACTCGTTTAACAAAGGTATTTTCAATTATCATTCTTTTTCATATATTTTAAAATATTAATATTATAATTTCGAAAAGATAGTAAAGCACAACGATAGATGGTACAAATGTTTTATTAAGTATTAAGTATTCTATTTGTTTAATGATTGGGCAATATTTATACAAAAGAGAAAAAAACCGTTCGTAATATGTTGACTAATATATCGCAGCTTTGTATATATTAACGAAAATGTAATTTTTTATATAAATAATTAGAGATATTTTAAATCGAAATATGATTTGTAAAATTTTTATATTATACGTTAAAATTGTAACCGCTGACAAATACTTTTCATTTTATGAGTTTATGAGTAAAATTATCAATTAAACGACATTAAGTAATAACCTGAAATAGTAATTATAATAATTATCGTTATTATTGTATGCTTTGATGAAGATCAAATGACAAATGTATATATATATATATATATATATATAAATATGTGCATATGTACATGCATATTCTATGTATATATAAATTGCTATTTGATTTTGAAAATAATTAGTTACCAATCAAATTGCTATCTTTTATACCGCATTGACCTACAAACTTTTAACTGAAAGGTTTGGCCGCATGCTTTTCTGCCTATAATATCATTACGTTAATAGTTTATCTTAATATTTAACACATACGCGACAAAATATATTTATCTTTTACATACGTTTATTAAAAGTCACGTTTAAAAAATAATATTTCAGCTTGCAAAAATAATGGAAGAATCCGATAGCCAAGAAAGTTCGGATAGGGACATTGAAATACGCTGAAGGTACACAAAATGACGGACTTTCGATTTACCTTTATAACGAAAATCAATGTTTGTTCTATATTAGAGTAAATATTGATTTTTCTGAACGTGATATATGGAAAAATTTTTAATTAATCTACGACATATTTTTATACATTCCAATTGTAGCTGCAATCGAGATAATTAAAATACATAAGAGAGCGCAGGATTTCAACCTTCATTCCATTTATTTGATTTTTAATATTACACTAGCAAGGGAACTACTATTTTTCATGTGAAATAACCTTAATTGTATTATTCTAAATATTGATCACGTAGTATTAAATAAATTTCTCCTGTATCCATTACATCATTTCCTATATGCCACTAAATGAAATTATAAAGCTATGATGTAACTAGATCAAATATAATGATTTTCAATAACACGTGACTATGATGTAAGCCAATACGAACACTTGCAAAAATAATGAAGTTTAAAAGAATTATATAAAATCCTTTTACTTTACAAATAATTTTTTTTTTTTTTTTAAAGTCAACGTAAAATTTAGCGAATTAACCATATCTGATAAGTAAATGTCTTAAAAGGCTTGGATAAATTTTTGTATTTATATTAAAATATTTTTACATTGGTTTATTAACTAAATTTCAATAATAGCCGTAAAGGTCCTGTGCTAATAATGTTTATTTTCAATTTTGAAATACATCAATTTAAATATGAATTTTTAATTCGCTAGTTATGCTACGTATCGACATATAATATTTATCAAAAATTTAAACGTTTGTATTATCGAGAGATGAAAGTATTACGCAAGAGAATATTTAAAATTGAACTATTTAAATAAGATTGTATTTCGTCACTAATTATATCAATAGTGATAATAGATGACATTATGGTCAGTATCAAGCATTAAATTTATCGCTATGACAAATGACAAATACTCATTTTTCTTATAATAATATGCATGCGCGTGCGTATATGTGTATGCGTGTATGGTTTAGATAAGGTTATTTATAATAAAATTTCATGTGTAATATGAAAAGTATTCTTAAAGAAACCGATTACCGCTATTTATTTATTTATTTTTTTTTTTTTTTGCATGTGGCCAAAAATCTTTGTATAAATAATATATGTAGTAAAAATTTTATTTAAATACATTTGTAAAAAAGGACTGAAACTGGTATGGAATATCTTGTCTTATGTCTATTGCAGGTACAGCGACATATAATTACATGTTAAAAACATAGTACGCGGTGACGCTTGCGCATCGTAAGTACTTTAAACTGATTTCTTGTAATAACAGAATGTACCTATACCTTTTTTCCTGTTTTACAAAATGTACTTTGAGAGTTAAAACTAATATCAAAGCTTAATCCAATAAGAAGGCATTTAATAACGCTGATATTAAGCGTCATAATGAAATTTACTTTTATGATACAATTTTTAAATACTTTCCATTAATGATATACAATAATGTCCGAGATACAAAGTGATGTTGAACATGTGTCTATTTAAAAAACGTATATGTCCGATATTTTTTATTTATCATTATTGTATCCGTCATCATAATCATTATCATTATCATCATCATCACCAACATAATTATCATTATTATTGTTATTATCATTATTATTAATGTAGTATGGTATTGTTTATATTATGACTTTTGGAACATAATATTCCAATTTATATACAGATTTTCTTCTTATTTTTTAATTTTATTTATAAAGTTTGTTGGTATCTTACTCTATAGTAAATCTGATTTGATTTTGATTGTTAAATTTTTGTTTCAAATTATCTTAAAATCGTCAATGATTAGATTATTTAATAAAACTTTCTCTTCCTTTTTTGTTACTTTTAACTTTAGTATCTTTTGTACTTTTCTGTACTTTATAACTGTAGTATTAATTTTTGTATTACGTACTTATGACATTTTTCTTAAGTTGATCATCTGGACCTTTTTATATAAATTACATATATAATTTAATTGTCAATATTACTAAGTAAATACTTGAATATTTTAATTTCTTTATTCTTTGTTATATAATGCGTCTATGCATTTTTGTTTTCTATTCATTTTACGATGTATTTTTTTACCAAATCGATAATTCAAGAAGAATTTAATTGGCGTTCGATGTACTTTTACTGCATGTGATAAAATATGCTGATATTATTATTTTATTTTTTCTGGTATTTAAGTTCGAAATAATAATAACAACAATAATAATAAGAATATTGAACATAATAATCAGTTCTTTAAAAACTCGTTTTTTAATTCTGTAAAATCTGAATTTTTAATGCTATAACGATCGAATGTTTATACAAGTATTTGTAAAAAAATAAAAAAATACTCCTTTACTCAAACATTTAGGAATTGAAGAATTAGCAGACTGTAAAATTTTGAAATTTATATAAACTTTTTTAAAGATATTCGAAACTATTAAAAAAAAAAAAGTTTCTTTCATCATTTAATTCAATATTATGAATTTTTAAACTTCTTGCCCTAATAAAATGGCTTAAACGAGTATGAGAAAAGGTCGATTGATTGTAAATAATGATAAGTAATGTTTTAATCCATTGCACTTAGTCTCAATCATTCAAATATTACAAAGAATTTTCGTTAATTATTTTTTTTTTTATTTATTTTTATGAAACCCGCATCACATGCGTTAATTGTAAAAACAATTAACTTTAGGGCTTACGCCTTTTTTTCAGCAATTTAATTCTTTATTTAAAACACTCGATTAGCCACAATTTTTATAATAATTGCACTTTGTCAGACTGACTTTAATTGATTATTTATTTTTGTGATAATTTTTGATAATAATGAGAGAGAGAGAGAGAGAGAGAGAGAGAGCAACGATAATACGCTGATGAAGTGACCGGGAACATTTGTAAAAGTTGCAAAAACGTTTGACTCAATTAATTAACGTAACAAACAGTACTCGTAATTGGCCAGCGGAGACAATCCGTATCCATCACGTATTCGGGCCAAGTAACAAATAAAGTCTCTCCGATGTTTCAATTAACAAAACAAAAAAAACAAAAAAAAAACAACAAAAAAAACACGTGGACTGTCCATAACAAAACTTTGTAAGAACCAAACAAGTTGCAATGAAGCTCAATTACAAAGCTACATTAAGTGCTATCCCATCCCAAATCCAATATCAATTACCACATCTGCTTGTGAACGGCTGATAACCATTGGCACTTTCGATTTTCTTTCAAGATCCGCCGAGAGTACCAGTACCAGTACGAGCTCGACTAGCAAGGCCGCCGCCGCCCCATTAGAATCACCCCAGAACCTGAGCACGACGAATCGGAAGCGAGAGCGCAGCCCGGATCCCAAGAACAGAAGCAAGAGCAAACGCAAGTCGACGCAAGTCAGCGCCGACGATTAGAACAAGACGCACCAACTGGTCATTTCACCGCTGACGACGATCCCTCTTACCCGCCTCATCCATATCCATCCTTTCAATTATTTTAATCACGTAGATTGTGTCGCGTGGCCCATTGTAGCCAGCCCCGAGGACGATACATTTTAAAAGCCAAATTCGCTAATGCGCGTGCATATATCGGTGCGCGTCGTATGGGATGAAAGTCGACTAAGTATTACAGAGGGCCATATCTTTGTATTTCATATATTGTTGGGAAATTGCGTTTAATATACTCCATCGGCTGACATCGGTGGCTTTACTTTGTCGGATCAACGACTTTCAAGAAAATCGTGCGTCAATTTCGCGATTTCGGTTTATTATCATTTCAATTTATCGTGACATATTGTACCAATCATCCCTTACGTTTCTTTCAACATCCGGCAATATTATTAATATACTTTCGACCAAGTATTTCTAAATTTGTAACTTTTCAAGGGTAAAATATTTAGGCCTCGCTTAAAAAAGTTGGTGCAGAAATTGCATTGCTCTGTTCGAACGATATGTGTACGCGATGTTTAAATATATATATATATATATATATATATATATATATATATATAAATATCCATACTGTACAAGCAACTCTGACACGTGCATGTATGTAGCTGTGCATGCATTTCAAGGATTCTACGTATTTACCACTGTGACAACAGCCACGATAGTTAGTTTATTATATTAGAATGTCGCGTAATATAACGATTTGCTAGCTCATCAACGCGACCAGTATATTAATTTCCATTCTTAATAACAATAATAATCATAATAATAAATAAATAAATAAATAAAAAAAAATAATAATAATAATAACAACAGTAGTAGTAATAATAATAATAATAATAATAATGATAATTATAATGATAGTAACGATAATTATGATAATGATAATAATAGTAGCCTCTTATTTACAAAATATTGCAAAAGTAATTCCGTTCGTATTTTTAATTATCATGAGATTTTCGTTCCCATCTCTCTTCTCCCCTCTTTAATCATTTCAAATTTAACGTGACCCTTTAAATATTGCAATGATAGTTAGTTAATTCTAATGAAATCAAGTCGTGCAATTTCTTGTCCCAACATACGTATTAGTGAAATTTTCATTAAAATTACACTGGTAAATGTCGAATATATAATGCATGTATAAGCTAGATAATGATCCTGCATCCGCACACGAATATAAAGTAATTCAGAAGTTCAACAATTCATTTATCTATAATTTAAAAGTGTTGTAACGCGCAGTTGTAGGCATAAATGTGTATGTATAATCAATCACTCATGTAATTTATAATGGTACAATAAAACAATTACAATGTGCAACATTCGATGTTATTATTGTGCATTAGTGAGAGGAAGGAAAAAAGGTGCGTAATAATAAAAACACCGTTGTTGTTATTGTTGTTGTTGGTGGTTTTTTTTTTTTTTTTTTTTTTCTCTTCAATTTATTTAAATAAAATAAATTCACAATGTAAGTATAGTCAAACTTATAAAAGCATACGTACGGAACATGAAATAATCCCAATACCAAAATTAACTAGAAACTAAATGTATTCGAGAGTGTAGATTCATTGAAACAAGTGCATCATCGTCAATTTACAAATAAACAAACTATCGTCCTTTTTAATATCTAAATTTACTAAATAAAGATTTGAATTGTTTCAAATGGTGAAACGAAGTGTGCGTATTAAGGGCAAATATTCTTTGCCTAAAGTAATCTTAGCGATTTAGTACATGTTCCCCTGCACTAGCGATAAAAGTTGAATTAAAGAAAAGAGTACCAGAAACCGCAGTAAATAATAGAAAATAAACGTAAGAGGAAAGCTAGCAAAGAAAAGATAAGGCATTACGTTCCCTTTACACCCAATTGGGTGCGTAAACGTGTGTTAATTATCTTTTGCCAAACTGTTGATTTTAGCGTTGATGGCAAGTATTTGTTTTGTGAATGACGTGTCAAACAGAACTGTCGCGAGGGCGGAGAGTAGTTCCCTTAGATTCTCTTGTGATAAGCCCATCTGCCGAGCGCACTCGACAACGATCTCGCTTTCTTCACTGTCAAGGTCAATCTGTAACAAATCAAAAGCATCAGATATGTCTCGTCGAAGTGGAAGGCGTACGATTATAAGAATTGGCCGAAATTATTGGGCCTAGCGCATTGCCGTTTCATCGAGTCGTGAGCGTTAAATCAACTCTAAAGACCGCCGTCGTCGTTATATATTTATCACAAATGACGAGTTGCCAGTCTCTCGAACGTCGCCAAACACTTTCTACGACAAATACCACGCGTTGCTTTCTCCCTCCGTCCGTCCATCCGTCCGTCCATCCGTTTGTGTCTGTTTATATATGTATATATATATTTATATATATATGTGCGATATATATATATATATATATATATATATATGCGCGCGTGCGTGCGTGTCTGTCTGTCTGGCTGAATCTATTGTGGCCGCTGCTCGCTCATTATCGCACGATACCCTTGGACACGGCTCACTGACGTTTAATTACCTTATTAAGATCGTAGAATTTGCTAAACGATATCTTGATACGCTTTTTTCCCCGATTGGTCTGATGGAAGATGGTGAAGGCCGGCGAGTCGGCTGTGACTTGAAAGTAAATGCCCGCGACGAGGTGTCCCTTGAAGTCTCTGGCCAGTAGGCTCCTGTAGTTATAAACCAAATTTCGACGCTCGGTAACGTCGATCGCAGTCAGATATGGCCTTGCCACATAAATGAGAGCGACCTGAGTCTGCTCTAAGGCACTGGGGCGAGTTTTCCTCTCGTGCCACTCGACGTAGTCGGGATCGCTCTGGCACAACGTGTAATTGTACTCCTTCCTAGCCTCGGCGTCGTCACTCTGAGTGAACCAGCCCGTGTGCGGATAGAGCTTGTCACCCATTACGGTGATGACCCGAGCGACGTGATAACCGGGATCGAGGAGCATTATACCCCGGCGCTTGTTTATCTCGATCTTGAGGCACACGAGAACGTGCTCCTTCTCGCCGCTGTCGGCGGCCGGGGGACCGCCCACGTAACCGGCGATATCGCCAATCGTCTCCTCGCAGGACACCAGGTAAAGGCCACTCGCTATACCGGGGAATTTCTTGTTCAAGCTGCAGAGACGCCGCAGCAACTCGAAACCGAGGCCAACGCAGGTGTGACGCTCATTGACAATGAGGGGCTGATATTTTCGATAAAAGTGCTCGAGGCTGCTTTCTCCGCTCTTCTTGAAATCTCGATAAAATCTGTGGGACGAGACATTATTAATTAGGACTTGTGGAATCGACCATTGCTCACCACCCATCCACCAGACTCTCGTTAAAGCCCTGTCGAAATCTATCTACGAAAACTGCAAGGAAGAAAGCTTAACCCGCTTCACCATCTCACCTCAAGACATTGTCGACCGTGTCGTATCGGCGCTCTCGGAGCAATCGCTGAGTTTCAAGTTCAACGCTGCTTGCTAGTTCCTCATACTGTTCAACCGTGTCGACGGTCAGGGTTGGCGACTCGTAGTGGCCCCAAACCGGCAGGGGTAGCGGCGCACCCCTGATCCAGGGACCGCGTGCCTGCCCCTGCGGCTGGCACCAAATATCTGCCTGTTCGAGTCAACTCGGCCACTCGCTGCCCCATCGCCCGACCGTTGGCACGTAGCCATGCTCATCCCTGCAGCTGCTTATTGGCTCCACAGGGCTCTCACCGTCTTTTTTATTCTTCTCTCGCTCTGAAAGACGAAAACGTAACCCCCGTCCCCCACCCGTCCTCATTATTATCGTTATCATTATCGTTATCATCACCCACCATCATTGTCATCATCCTCGTAAACTCGGTATTAAAACACGAGTCTCTCTCTCTCTCTCTCTCTCTCTCTCTCCGTTTACGTCTCCGTCCCCGTCACGATATAGCTATAGCTACGAACGCCGCGCGGCGCTGCGCGAATTCCCGCATTCCATCTCGGCGTAGCAGAAGCCAATCTGGTCACGCGGTCAATGGCGTCTGCCGCGAGCGCGCCACACGACTTTTGGCACTCGATGATGATCGATTCGCGCGGCTCACTACCGCGGCTGGCAACAAGACCGTCCCGTTAACGCAAATAAATAAATATCGGCGCAGCACGTGGCTCCCTTCGCTTACTTTCGGCCTTGAATGCCTGCGCGCGCTACTAATTTAGCCAACACCACCACCCCTCCTCCCACGCTATCTCTCTCCCATCCCTTTCGCCAAATCACCTCCCACGCATGCACACACTTGCCCGTATGCGCGTGCACTAGGCAGGCACGCAGGCAAGCAGACAGGCAAGCAGGCAGGTCGACCGTAATTTTCCTCCTCCTTTACCTCGTTTAAGTCATCGTCGAAAACAATGGAATAACACGTATAAGCGACCAAGGGGTTACGGGCGGTTCGCGTGGCGAAGGGCTCGGAGGAAAGGGAGTCAAGAGATCAGATAATTTATAAGTTCGGATTTATAAGAGGGGAGACTTTACGGACCGACAAAGCGGCCCATCCCATTTTATTGGTTTTCACGTGTCGCCGCCACCACCGCCACACATTTGTTTACGCGAGCTCGACACACGATGGTGTGTGTACGAAGCAAAGTGGATCGGATGAATCCCAATGTCGTCGACGCCCGCGCAGAGGCCAGCTCATCGTTGCAATCTCGTGAACTCGAAGAGCTCGTCCGGATCGCTTCGATGCGCGAGAGGTGACGACGACGACGACGACGACGACGACGACGACGACGACGACGACGGTGACGCTACGATGATACTTTCCACGTAATGGGACTGCCCCCGCGAGTCCATCCACCTGCCGGGCGACCCCCGCCTCCAGGACCGTGTGCACGGAAAAGTGCGTGTTGGCGTCCTTCGGACTCCCGCTGACACGGGCGGGCGGGCGGGCGCGCGCGCGTGTATACCCTCCCTGCCACTCACCCGCTTACCCTCTGCCCCTCCCCGCGTACAGTCGAGAGCTCGTTTCGCGTAAACGAACAGTCTCTTTTGCGCAGTTAGTACGCTGACTGCCCCCCCCCCCTCACCGCCACCTTCCCTCTTTCACCCACCAACCAGTCAACCAGTCAATCATCCAACCAGCTAACCAGTTAACCAGCAGGGAGCAAGCCCGAGACCAACTCGTCGACCACGCGGACGCAGACCACACGGCGATCCCCAAAGAGAGAAATAAAGTGAGAAACAAAAAGAGCGTTATGCCCGCCCGAGAACGTGACTCGACGACGGTGGAGTCCACCAGCAGCTTTCCCCATACTCACCCATACAGCGAGCGCACCGATCAAATAAAAACTTTGCCTCCCTGTCGAAGCTCTCCTGGTGCCTGAGCGTGTCCGAAGTCCAAGCAGAACTGAGGCAATGAGGCGCGGGCGCAGCTTATGTAGAGGAGCGGTAGGGCATCCGCCCCCACCCCGGGCAGCCCCTTCCCGCCCGACCGTCGTATCCCCGACGCGTACACCGCCCGGGACGTCGCTGGTCGGCCCGCCCGAGGAGCCGAGCGCGCCAATTGCGTCTGGATTTTTAAACGTCGGATAGCCGATCAGCTGATATCGGGCCGATGGCAGCCAAGGTCGACGAGGCGTGCGACAGCGAGAGACCCGCGCGTAGACGCCCCGGCCGCTCTTCTGCTCATCGACGACGAACAGCTGTTCTCCTCCTTTACCTCCTTACGCAATCCTCGTCTTCCAAGCCTCCCATTCCCCATTCCCCTCCAAATTGGCTTAATCCTTCCCTAGTTAGCGGAAATACCGAACGAATTTGCCGAACTAACGGGCAGTGTGACGACGACGAAGACGACGACGGAGACGACGACGAAGACGACGACGAAGACGACGACGAAGACGACGACGAAGACGATGACGACCTGTCTTTGCGGTTCTGCTTTTGCGGGTAGGTACGGGTGGGTGCTCAGCTGCTGGATGATAAATATCGCGAGACGTTTGGTCGTCGCCTTATCGCTCGTGTCAGTCGGGGAAAAAGAAAAATATTAGCGGGAAAAATCCTCGGTCTCGACGCAACGCAACGAGCCTCTCGGTACGACGAGATAATGCCACTACGGCGGCTTGCGCAGTTCTCGGAATCGTCGTGGCGTCCGCGCGCATCTGCCTATATGCGTGTGCGTGTGCGCGCGCGTGTGGGTTCGCGCGCACGGGCACGTTTACGCGGTGCATGTAATTCGTTTTTCCTTTTGCCTCCGTGACGGAAGTTTATCATTTGTTGACTCTGGTCTCGCAGTCGTCACCGATGACTCTCCTCTTCTTATTGCGTCGCAAACTTTCGCAGAGTCGAAGAGGAGTCGCGGACAATGCGGTTATTGCGTTCTCTTTCGCAAATAATATTATAGAAGCTCGACGAGCAGCGCTTTCGAATTTAGTTTGCATTGGCAATTACGCACGACACGCTCCCCCGCCGATACGTACTTTGCTCCTTTGTTCATTATTGTATGACTGCGCACATTCGTCGCTGCTTTCGTTTCAACCAAACTTCTCTCTCTCTCTCTCTCTCACACACACACACACACGCACAGGCGCGCGCGCGCACATCCCCACCCACTAGCTCTCTTTACGATCAGTTTTATTATTATTTGCTCGATTTGTTTTCTTTGCCAAGCACATTGTCCTCTAAGAGCTCTAAGCGTTGCCAGCGTCTCCTCGAAAGTACGTTTCGCGTGCCCTTAATGCATTCGCTAGGCGTTAACTTATAAAAGCCCTTCGCGCCTTAGGCGAAATTTCCCTCCTAATAAGAGGAGAGCAGTGCGTCTCCCTTAGCGCTTTTCTACTTATTTATCGGTTCGTTGGCTTGCTTATTGACGCATGCGAGTATCTTCTTATTGCTCGGGCCTGACGCACGCATTGCACGTAAGTGGCAGGTAAGGAAGGAGCGGAGAGGAGAAAAATACGCCTCGGCTTATTGGCTTGGAAATTGGCAGCTGGTGGTCGTCGAAGGTAACGTTCAGGCGCGGACGGATGAACGCCATCTTCCGCGTTTTCTACTGTAATTTCAAATAGCAGTGCCGACCGCGGCGTACCGAGCTCGCACACAACGCATTCCTCGACTTTCCAATCAAGTCCATTGGTGGTGGTCAACTACGCATACGCATACGCATTTCGAAAGTATGCGCGACGACGTTACAGCAAGTCGCTCCCTCGCGCGCGCAAATATTGTAGATCCGGTGCAACGTCGTCACGTTGTCAACGTGTGTTACGAATGTGGTGCGGTGCAGCATTGTGCAACCCTCTGACGCACGAGTGCGCACCACGTATAAAGGATATTTGCAAATGTGGAGAATGCCGTTTGCCTAATGACGACAACCGGTTGGTTTCCGCCCGCTCGACGCGACATTATCGAGCAACGACGTGCGAGCGAGCCCCGTACCCGCTTTACGAAAGGAAGAAAAGACTTCCCATAATTTTATAGCGTCCTTAAATGTTGCGATCGATCGTCCGTCCTCGTTAATCGGCTATCTTGAGCGTCCCGGCGGAATTGGAGGGATTGGAGTAGTGGTGGGATATGCATATGCGCCAAGTGTAATAATGAAAATCTCGGATTGTTGGATGTCGCGGAGAAGGTGTTCGGGGGAGGTTTCGATGTGCTCGAAGGTGTAATTATTAGATAATTAGAATGGTCGTTGAGAAGGCCATCGTCGGAAAAGGCATTTTAAAAGCACGTACCTTGTTTGTGGTTTTTTGGAGATTCGAAGGATTTCATCGCTATCGGTGGGATAGAATTTTCCACGGGCAAAGGAGAATGAATAGTCGAGGAGCAAAGTAGTTAGCTATTAAAGAGCAATGATAATTTTTTTACAATCGATATTGGTGATTTATTTGTTACGTATAGAGCGTGGATCGATAGCCGACGATAGCCTTCTTGTCAAATATTTATATATCAAGTGTAAGAGATAAATTTTTAATGATTTGACAATAATCTATTCTTACGAATCTTTCAATGTGTTTTAACAAATGTTATCGTACTGCCGTCAATTAAAATTTGTAATGAATCATCGCCAGTAGCTAACAGCGTATTATTTTCATATTATTTTCTAGATATATTGCAATTGTTATTTATATTTATATAAATTGCGATCGTATCGTATGCTCGACTAACAATAATATTAAGCATTTTCAATAAGAAGTGAGCACTCGCGTTATTTATCCTAAGCTCGCACTTGGGAAAGAAATATATTTATTGTCCGAGCGGGCGATAAAATCATTATTATTTAGACTTTATATGAAAATGGTAATAAGCGATAGTTAACGTTTTTGAAAGTTTTTGAAACTTTGCAAAAAGTCATTTACGATAGCATACGGAGCGACTAAAAATGCCAAGTGGACATTTAGACGAGGGAGCGAGGATAGAATGGAGAACACGAAGTTGAATAACTTCGATCAACAATCTCCGCGTGACTAATTTATGTATTCGTATGCCAAGCCAATAAATACAAACGCATTTAATAGTTTAATCGAAAGTTATGTATTACTCAACCGGATTAAATTATTGGAGATTGTTAGAATTTTTCCATCGTTCGATGGATTTGGCTGTTTTCGCTATTTCATGTTTCGCTTTTGCGAATCCCACAGATTATAAGATTTCACGCTGCAATTATT